GAAGGGTCCTTTGCCAGCCCCCCGCGCAGCTCTGGAGACCCCACAGTCGTGAGCTCGGGACCTCAGGGGGTGCTGGTTTCTCACGAACAGTAGAGGAGCTCAGTCAACAAGAAGTGGGGCTGTTGCCGGAGGAACCGTGCGCGTTCTGAGGGAAGGTTTTACAGTCCATTAGTTTGATTTCTTCTTGTCAGAAAAGGGTGGTGAGAAAATGAACAGCATTTTCTGATGCCACAAGATTAATTATGTTTTTATAGCCAAAACCCTTGATTAAAGGCCATCATTAAGGGGGTCTCGTAGGGAAACTGAGGAACATCGCTGGAAGGATGATGCAGACATGCCGGCCGCCCTGGTCCAGGTGGTGCTCTGTCCTTGGGTCCTCTTGGCACCGGGCCCGGCCCACGCCTCCAGCAGGCAGAGGGAGGGAGGGAGGGAGATCCTCCTAAAGGAGCTCAGAGTCATGGGCGCAGCACCTGAGCAGACAAGAGTCACCTCTGGGCCCCCGGCAACAGGAAGGGCGTCACAAAGAGGACAATTGCAGAAGCCCCAGTCCTGGTGAACTGATTCCTGGAGAGGGGCAGAGGCTCCTGGCCCCACGTTACCCAATAGAGGGTCAGAATAGGTGACCCCTGAGACCCTGGTAACGGGGCAGCTCCCGCCACCAGCGGGATTGCAGCCCTCTTTCTCTGAGCTGCTCTGCCAGCCTGAGGGACTCCTGGGATCCGGAGTTGGCCACAGAACTCAGCAAATTTTCCTACATCTTTTGCTATTTAGAAAGTTGTGGCTGTTGCTCTGAAATATAGTTCCTAAAACCATTAGTTACTTTTATTTTTTATCTTTTATTACTTTAGTCTAGACATGAAAATAGGTTCTCAGGCCTTATGGAGAGTTCAGCGAGTGCCAGACAGGCGCCCTTCTGCGCATTAACAGCCCAGAAGCCTCCCGGGCTCCCTGTCCCCCAGAGGCTGGCCCCGGGCATCTTGCGTCCCTCCCAGGGGACTCCAGTCTCTGGGCTGCACAGATTCAAAACGTTCTGTTTTGGAGATAGCAGATTTCAAAGCAGGCGGTTCATATAACGGAGGGTGAGAGAATAACTATGTAGCCAAACCGAGGAAAGAAGTGAAATAAAGACAGCAATTCCATGTCCCAGTGTTATATTTTTTACTAGTCAATAGTTATACCATTCATTGTGGTCAAAGGCACTGGCAAAAATTAGATTTTTTAAATTCCCTATTGAATCACAAACAGTATTATATCAAAGTCGAAATCTTCTGCAAGAGAATCAACAACAGTAATAATTAAAATGTAAAGTAAAGGACAGTGAGGGCTGACAGGTGCCACCCCTCCTCTGTGCGCAGCGGTGCCACTCCTGGTGGTGGTCTTTTACACCCACAACCCTACGCCACCTCCCCTGGGATCTGCATCTGCCACCCCCACTCTATGGCCCGAGGTCACACAGATGGGAAGGGGCAGACCTGGGAGCCCACACAGCACCCCTCTTCCTCACATTCATACCAAAGGCAGCGCTGATTCAGGCTCTCGTTGCCGGGAGTCTGCTCTGAGGTCAGTACTGACAGCGAGTCCTGAGAAGCCCATTGTGAGCGCGCTTGTTCCCGCCCCACCCCCTGGTGCAGAGATCTTCTCCCCACGCCCGTGTGTAGTGATGAGGGTCCACCGTCCACACTCCAGCTGATTTATTAGCCATGGGCATCACTCTCCCTTCCCAGCCTGCTATCGCACCCAGCCACGCTTCACTTTGGGAAGCTGCTTCCCATGCCTCACTCTGAGCCCAAAAATAATGGAAGGGAAAGAATTTCGCACAGGGGTTGTAATGAGTTTGAGGAGCCTTTGTAAGAACTTCCGGTGTGGGTTTGTGACGAAGAGGGACTGCTTCACTCCGCGTGTGAAGGGCTGGTCCTCCTCTCCTGAGTGAGCTGCGCCCGTGAAAGCTCATCACCTTCCTGTACGCCGTAAACTATGAGCTGTCTGAGCGATAGAGCCACTTCTCCCGCCCGCCCCCCCTCTGTAGAAGAAGGAAAAGCAGCATTGCCTGGTGGTCCTGACATAGCAGACGGCACAGTTCCTATTGGCAGGCAGTCTGCCTGGAGAAAAAGGTCGATTTTAGGAAGTTTTCCCACAGAGATTCTGGACTGATTTTTACCAAACATTTCCTTCGACTTTGGTCATGTATCTGGACCACTGTCCTAGAGCCGTGGAATGTGAGAGTTGAAAGGTTCTTGTTCTGTTCCTAAATTAAAGAGTGCGGGAGGACAGTGGGAAGGAAACAGTGTGTTTTCCTGTGGATCCTTCCCTCGAACTCAGGGTCCCCTCCGAGCAAGAGTGTGTTTGCCTGACACATTTCACCTGACGTAGGTCCAGATTTATATTAAACCTGAGTCTCCTGACACATGCCGTTCCTGGTTCCTGTGGGCCACAGGCCTGTGGCAGCCACTGTCCTCGCACAGTAGGCTCTCAGAACTGGTTGCTGAATGCGCACACATAAGAGTGAATACATGAAGGGGGCGTTCCTCTGAAAGAGCATTTCCTACCGTTAGGGTATTACCTCACCCTGCAATGGTGAGAGAAATGCCTTTTCAGGCCCCAGCCTCTCAGTGATCCGCCCTAACACAGCAGCTGTGTTTCTGCGTAATCGTCTAGAGACAGGCGGCTATGAGCATCTCTTCTCAGAGCGATGGCTGAGCTGGTGAGGCCGGTGTGCTGCAATCTTTGTAAGCGCTTGTTAGAATGTATTTTTTTCGTGGTGGTTACCTCAGGAGAGAGGCTGTGCCCACATGAGCTGGGAGGATGGGGCCATCATTCTGTGGACGGTGGGATATGCTTGAGCAGGGCAGCCACTGGACAAGCGTAAATACACACTGTCCCCATGTGAATGGAGGCGAAGTGGTGCGCCTTTCTTTTTTTTTTTTTTTTTTTTTTTTTTTTTTTTTTTTTTTTTTTTTTCCCCCCAAAGCCCCAGTAGATAGTTGTATGTCATAGCTGCACATCCTTCTAGTTGCTGTATGTGGGACTCGGCCTCAGGATGGACGGAGAAGTGGTGCCTCGATGCGCACCCGGGATCCGAACCCGGGCCACCAGCATTGCAGCGCGCGCACTTAACCACCAAGCCACAGGGCCGGCCCTGGTGCGCCTTTCTTTACGGATTAGAGAGTGTAGGTTGAGGTGAGCCAGGGTATATCCATATACATCTTCGTTGAACTGATTCTCGAAACTGACTTTTACTCTAAACCTTCATCCGGTTCTCTTTTCTTTAATTTGAGTGTATTGTATAAAACCCATTCTGTTTGAACAATTGTGTTCACCAAGAAACACTTTGTCCTCTGACGGCACTTCTGATACTTAAACTCCTTCATAAACCCTAGAGGGAACTTCACTAGGAGTTGGCCAATTAAATGACATGGAATCGTGGCTTATCTGAAATCCTCTTTTAATCTCTGTTGTTGAACAAGCACTTACTTTTCAACAAACAAATTGTCCAGCTTCTCCCAAAATAAAGGATGCAGTTATATGTGGCTGTGTCCCCATTTGACCATGCACTCCTTGGGAGCAGCACCACCTCTGCTTCCCGGCCTAGGTTCGCCCCAGGAAGGAGTGAGGGTGCCACGTCGGCACCCGCTCTGCTCATCCAGCTCAGCCCCTCCTTGTCCTGTGAACAGCCTTTGCTCAAACCGCTTCCTCTGCCAGGAACGCCTTTTCTCCTTCTTTGCCTGTCCAGACCCAACACGGTGTGGATGCCAGTTCCACGGCTGCCTCCTCCCAGAGGCCTGGACCCTTGCCTCAGCCTGCACTGTCCTCGTACCCCGGGCGCTGCTCAGCCCTGCTACCTGCTCCTCCCTGCTTAGTTTCTGAGCACTCACTGCCCCATTGTCACCTCTGATTTGCGTGTCCAGGTTTTGGTGGGCTGCTTCTTCAAATGCTCCATGTGTCTCCATCACCTCCATGTCAGTTGGTTGTTTGCTCTGCTGACCTTCCTTCCAGAAAGGTCTTTGCCAGGAGAACAGTCTGACTTGCCCTTCACAGCCCACCTCTGTGCCTCTCTCTAAGGCCTTCCTGGCTCCTCACCCTCCCAGTCCCACTCCCAACAGAAGGAATTGCTCTCAGCATTTATCCTCTTTGTCGTAGCTGCCCAAGGCAGCACGGTTTCATGGAACCAGCAATGGCTTGAAGGTCAGACAGGTGTGCATTCGAATCCTTCATCCTTTGGATGCTGGGCCTCACTGTCCCCCTCTGTAATGCCAGGGGTAATGCCTGCAGCTCAGCTTGTGGGGATTAAATAACACTGAGCAGGTTTCACTGGGTAAGGCCCTCAGTATATGTGCCTTTCCTTTTCTTCATGTCCACGATTTACCACATTTATATTCCGTCTTATCTGCCTTGGCATCCAGGCATGCAGACGGGACCTTGCATAGAGAGCACACTCAGGAAATATGGGTGCCTTGGGAGATCCTGGAGAGTTCAGGTCACATCATGCACACCCTTTGTGATCTCCTGGGAGCTCAGGACAGTGCAGCATGTGGTGTGTGGGCAGAAGACTCAGTGAGTCACAGAGCCCAGATCATGCCTTGAATGCAGAGTAAGGTACGGACAGGGGCTCTCACCCAACCTGTACTGCTCCTGTGGGCCATGACGGCTCCTAGAAATTGGGATGTTAAATCGAATGCTACTCTGGGAGCAAGGTGGTACTCTCCAGTCAGCCAAGGCCTTCAAGGAAATCCTGCCCTTTTCTAACTCACCTTTCCTTCTAAGAAGATCCAGACTCAGAAGATGAAATCATGTAATCAAGCCTATTTACGAGGGCTCAGGATTCCTGAATCTCTGGGCTCTTTACCAGAATAACAAACAGGAGCTTCCCACAACCCCAGCTCTTGAAAGCTTCCACTCCTGATAGCATGGTTAGGTTCTCGGAAAAGGCAGCTACCTCAGAAGCCACCCAAGTATGCAGAGGCAACTCTGTTACTAAAACATCTTCCTTTTCTCTTTCCTAGGAGTTTCTTTTAATAGTGTTTACACTCAAATTTGGAGAGTCTTATTGCATCTGGCTGCGGATCCCTATCCAGATGTTTCCGATTTGGCTATGAAAGTGCTCAACAGCATCGCCTACAAGGTATGTGGACAGGGTGTTCTCGACGAAACTCTCAAGTTCTTGATTTTTGGTTATGAATATTCAAGCAGGGAATTCCAGGCACATTCAGGTCTATGTTGTGGTTTAGAAACTTTCAATGGGCGTTTTGAATCCAGAGATTTACAACATACCCTGAACTCTATTGACATAGCTTCAGCTGGGGCACACATTACTGCTTCTGCTTACCCACATCAAGGCATCAGGAAGTGAGGTAGGATTCTCATTATTTCTCATAATCCTCTCAATGTCTGTAGGATCTGTAGTGATGTCCCCTCTTTCGTTCCTGATAGTAGTAATTTGTGACTTCTCTTTTTCATGACCATTCTGGCTAAAGGAAACTTCTCAAAGAACCAGCTTTTGGTTTCATTATTTCTCTGTTGGTTTTCATTTTCCATTTTATGGATAGCTGCTTTTATCTTCATTACTTCTTTTCTTCTGCTTACTTTGGGTTTAGTTTGCTCTTCTGATTCTAGTTTCTTAAGATAGAAGCTAGGTCATTGACTTTAGTCCTTTCTTCTTTGGGGACTGTAAACTCTCCTAGTCCTTTTGGTGAGCTCTGGGAATTATTGGCCTTCTTGTGGTTCTTTCCTCAGCCCTTGTGGGTTTTCACCCCACCCAAGAACAGAGAGAACTCAAAGACTTGAGGGGCCTCCCCTGCAGACCTCAGAAGCCCTCTCCCCTCTGTACTCTGACCTGCCAGTTCCAGCCACCTCGGCTTCTGTGGAGCTCCCGTCTGTCTCCTCTGCTCACTGGACCGCCAGGCTCTGTCTGGGGCCCCCGCCCTGTGCAGCAGCCTGGGACTGCTAGGAAACGCCTGCCAACCACCTGCAGGCCATGAGCTGGGCCATCGTTTATCCCCTTCCCTCAGAGATCACAGGCCACAGGACCCAGTGGCCAATGCCTGAAAACAGCTGTTTCATCTATTTTTTTCTGGTTTTCCCATTGTTTATGGATGTTAGACAATTTACATGGCAGTTAATGTTTCATGATTGGAACTAGAAGTCATTCATTATAGCATTTTTTAAAATTTTTGTAACTTTTTGGTAAAATTTTGAGCTTACAGACAAGTTTCAGGAAGCATACAGGGAAACATCATCACGTTACGATTTTCGTGGTGTCGTCTCCGTCTGCATGGACCCTGATCACCACTGAGGGGTTGTTCCCAGGGGGCCACTTGCCTGAGGTCACATGACTTAGAAGAATATTTGCTAGGGTCCAGGGTCTGGGTGTTTCATTCCTAGTCCATTTTTTGCAAGTTAGTCATCAAGCCATCTCGTGTGCTGTTGCCTCGCTGGTGCTGGCCCCCTGCGTAGCCTAAAACTCCTGCAGCACCCGGTCTCCTTTTGGTATCATATTTGTGTGGTCTTCAGTTCCTTCACTTAAGTTATTTTTTATTGGTCTAGTTATGTCTTTTTCTGAGTGATTGAATCTCTCATCTCTGTAGTTGCTGCTGCTTTGGCTCCTGGTAGTATCACAAGTAATGGTAACAGCCTCATTGTGTACCTAATTGTAAACCGCTATAGTGATCAATTTCCTCTTTCTCTTTAAAGATGCAATAAGAATAATGCAGAAGCACATTCTGGGTTTTAACCTCAGGAGCTGTGGTCACCTGTGTGGCTCTCTCTGGAAGCAGAGACCCATGGGTCCGTGGGTATTTCACTGCACTTGCTGCCTGCTAGAACTGCCAGCCTACTGCTAAAACGTTAGGCATTATTCTTGGCCAACTCGGAGCTATCCGGGTTGTTTAATTCTACACTGACCTCCCCTCACCCCCCATGAACCCTGCAGCCCCTGCCTTCATCGTCCCACTGTGTGACTAGCTATAAAGGCCCCTGAATGATGGTCCATCCTCGAGGAGTGGGGAATCTCTCGGTTTCTTTTACGTGTCACAGGCCTATAGAAAATAGGCAGTCAGTTAAGTTAATTTTTTCATTGTGTAATAGAAAACTAAGGAGTAATTCAGTCATCTGCTTTTTCAACTAAGAACAGGATCTACTCAAAAATAAAACTTTGTAAAAATATATGTTTATTACAACATATTATGGTCTGTGACCAAGGAAGGGAGGAAGGGGAGAAGTTCAGTAGCTGGGGCAGGAGATAGAGAGGGAAAGGAAGGTGGACTCAGAGAAGCGTGCCCCCGGAGAGGCGGCAGGGTCTGAAGCCACCCTCGAGACGGCCCCTGGCCAAGGCCACACTGGAAGCCAGTGCTGTTGAGGTGGTTTGATCATTTCCCCCCAGTTAATTTAGCTTCTTGGTTATTTTGGTCATGATAAACCAGTATTCAGGCTATGTAAGCTTATTTTTCAGTGGCTTTATTTATTTAATCCTACCAATAATCAACCTGAATTATTTAAAAATATAATCTCAGTGCCTAATTGTGAAATTTGACAACTATAGGTTCATCACAGTAGACCTGACCTTGGGTTGTTAAACACATTCCTCTTAGGACTCTCTCTCTGGCACGTGAAGCACAGAAACCATATCTCCATGTCCTTTTGGATTATGTGTCAAGTGTGTAGCTATGAGCCAGAAATGCCCCTCACCCCACTTTAAGGTAAATAAATATCTTATGTGTAATCTCTTGTACCATGCAAAGCTACACTAGCAAATTACAGCAACCTAAAACATAGCCTTTTGTTCCTTTGGAACAACACTCTCTAACCATGCCCTAGAAACCCCCATTAAAGTGGCATGTGGCTTTCTGCCTGCTGCACTGATCTGGACGTCACACATCCCAGTGTGCACATGCTGTCATGCCCACAGGCACACCCATGCCAGAGGGACGGAGATCAGAGTGGGCCTCCTCTGGAGTCTGTGCTCCCCAGAGACCTTGCCTGTGTGTGTATCTGTGTTTTTGTGTGTGTGTATATATATGTGTGTGTATATATTTTTAAGAGTAAACATTGCTACTGAAGGGTTTGGAAGCATAAACATTAAGGAAATCCTTTCTTCAATTTAATTTAAAAAAATGTGTTACTGGGGCTGGCCCCATGGCCTAGTGGTTAAGTTTGGCACACTCTGCTTCGGTGGCCCGGGTTTGGTTCCCAGGCGTGGACTTACACCACTCCACGGCAGCCATGCTGTGGCAGTGACCCACATACAAAATAGAGGAAGATTGGCATAGATGTTAGCTCAGGGCAAATCTTCCTCAGCAAAAAAATTAAAAAATAAAGGTCTTACTTTCTGCTCTAGGAACTAATGAGGGGATTACATTTCAGTTTACAGAGAAATGGGCCTATTTTAGATATTTAACTCTGCAGCCAAATTTTTGTTCATCCTAGTCAAAACAGCCTTTTATTATGGAATGACCCGTAGAATTCTATATTCATATACAGAAGCTGCCGCCAGCTATGTATGGAAGAGCCCACACAGCTCACGAGCCGTGGCCTAATTTCAAGCATTTATATCCCCTTCCACGGGCTTGGGGTTTGCGTTTTGCTTGTAGTTTTTATTATGGAAAATTTCAAACTACGTAGAAGTAGAAAGAAGAGTTTAATGACCTCAGGAAGCCACGTCAGCCCCGGAACCTCCCCTCAGGGCCACTTCTGCCAGCCCGCGCTTTGGGGTAACACCGAGCAAGAAGTTTCAGGCTATAGGTGTTCAGATGTCGAGAGTCATGTATAATACTAAACACTAGTTTTAATATTTAAGAGGAAATTTATAAATGACATATAAACTCACCTAAAAATAGTACCACAGCCTCCTGATACCATCAGGAGCCGGAACATTGGTCACTGCTGTGGGACGTGGGCAACTAGACACACTGGAAATTAGAAATTAATGCTTAATTAAAGGTAAAAGGATTTACTTATAAACCAAAGGCCTGAGTGACTAATAAATAAAATAAAGATTGAGATACCCAGAAAAGCCTATTCAAAAATACCATTAAAGCTGTAATTAAAATCTAGCTTCACACTTTCACAGCATTGGTTACTTATCACTGTTTCTTTTAAAATCATATTGTCATGCAAGAATTTTCTCCTCCTATTTAACAGCTTCAGTTCGAATCCAGAGAGCCACTTCTGTTCACCCCTAGTCTGCATTCCCTTAAGTTGGCTGAATCACTGAATCATAAGGATTTAACTCAGCAAGTTTGCAATTAGCCTCTAAGCCAGAGTAGTGCTGAGTGCCTAAAATGGCTGAAATTCTCTTTTCAGGCACCTTTGCACTGTTCTCTCAGCAGTCTTAGTCGATATGCTTATAAATATTCTGATTTCTTTTTAATTGAGTCAAAATGGCCTTTAGTCCACGGAGTCAGAGGGTTCTCTGTTGCTGTCATTCTTCCTTCTAGAAACTTCCATTTGCTCTTTGAAGTCTTCCAGCTCTCCAGCTCAGCCCCTCCTCCCTGGGGAAGTGGGGGGCATGAGCTGTGCCCTCTAGCACCAGGAGACCCTCAACTAATGTCCCCTACTGCCTTGATTTGGAGGTGGCCCTGTGCATGGAAGTGCTGTCTGACAGCCTCTCCCAAGCCTCACCTGTCTCATGGCTTCCTGCAGCCTCCACCAGGAGGAGGGACACCCAGAATTGTCAGAACAGAGCACGTCACTGGGGACAGGAATCACAGCAGTCCTAGTGAATAGCAGCAGTTAGAGGCATCTGTGTTTCGAGTTTGGAACTTTCATGCTCACTGCAGAGCCAGAGGTGACAGACATCACTACTTGGACTAGCTTAGCTTACAGAATTAGACGTACCCCTGCCTTACCGTCATGGCCCACAGGCTCTGCCAGGCCAGCGCAGGCAGCCTCAGGACAGCTGGTCCCCTGGGGATTTGGACTCGGTGACTCTGAGGTGGCCGCTGTGAATCTGTTTTCACTGACACTCTGCTATGGGCTCTCGCAAGTGTCCCATGCGGGGACTCATGGCCACGACGTAATGGAATGGCTCTCCAAGACCGTGGCTCCCTGTGGAGCAGCACACTCCAGCCTGGCGGGGGCAGTACAGGCTTTGGCTGTGGGTCCCATTCTAGCTCCACCAGCCTTCAGCCAGTTACTTCACATCCACCAGCTTCCATTTCCCCGCCTGCAGAGCTGGGATCATTGTAGGCTCTGCCTTCGAGGGGTGTGGTGAAGAGTAAGTGCAGTAACCCCACAAAGCCCTGGTCACCGTGTGTGGCCTGCACGGGGACTCCCCAAGACAGCAAAACTAAAGTATTAGTGTCATCATCTTCTTCCCCGTCCTCACTATTCTCTGTGAAAATGGAGCCTCTCCATGGTGTGCGGGTCCTGAAAAGAGTAGGGGGGTCTCACCAATGCCAGGTTCTCTTCCCGTGGGGCCAAGGACTGAGGGCACCAAGTGCCCCTGGAGTGAGACTTTCCCAAGCCCATTAGTAACCATCGGGCAGTTCATCATAGTCACCATTGTTTTAACTGAGTACTACCTAGGATTTAGAGTCCAAAAGGAAAGTTCATTTATCTGGGAAATGAAGTTTACAGAAAAATTATTACTAGATAAATAGAATTGTGTGCTTTTACGGTTCTCAGTGATCACGCAACCAGTGGGCTCTGCATCACACTTAGCCCAAAATACCTCTGGATAATCCTTTTGGGAATCACCTTCTCACACATGAATCCGGATGCTTGATATTCAGTTACCAGGGACATTTCTGAAATACCCCATTTCCCCCAAGAACGAGCAGCCAGAAGCCTATGTTGGTCTCCTACACCCTGACTAAATCCAGACCCAGTTGGGAGATTCACTGCCCAGTCACCCACGTTTCTTTCTGGCATTTTTCTCCACATTGGATCAGACTTTCCTGTGTCCTTGTGAGGCGACATATTCTATTGAAGAATCAGAGAGTAAAGAAAGTGCTCAGGGAGCTGGAGACAGAAGGGGGTCTTACTGCAGCCCTGGCCCCTGTTACAGAGACCCTCCACCATTAACTGCATGGGGCAGGGAGCAACGGTGGGGCTGATGTGTGTACATGCGTGAGTCCCTGGGGGGCTGATGTGTGTACGTGCATGAGTCCCTGCAAACTATTGCTAGGAGAATACATCTGACCTGGACAACATGATGTTTGCCACCCTCTGAAAAGTTGGCCTGTAGCCACAACCTTGACCTCTCCCTGCTGCCCTTCCTCTTCTGACTCAGCCACTGGTTAGGAAGGGGACTTCTCTCAGGCCTTCCTCAGGGTCCAGTGGTTTCAGTGCAGCGTCATGGGGGGATAACAGGGAGTTGATGCCATAATAAGACAGGCAGGGGCTGTGTGTGCTCAAGGCAGATGGGCACTCACAGCGGGGTCCTGGGTCTCACAGACCCACGCTCAGTCCTCCTCAATTTATAGCCCAAACCCTGAAATCCAGCAAGCGCGCTAGTGTTTGTTAACCTTTTCTGATGGTGTGCTCGCTATTTAAAATGACAGCCGGTGGGCCGGCCCCGTGGCTTAGCAGCTCCGCTACTGGCAGCCCGGGTTCGGATCCCGGACGCGCAACGACGCACCGCTTGTCCAGCCATGCTGAGGCCGCGTCCCACATACAGCAACTAGAAGAATGTGCAGCTATGACATACAACTATCTACTGGGGCTTTGGGGCAAAAAAAAAAAGGAGGAGAATTGGCAATAGATGTTAGCTCAGAGCCGGTCTTCCTCAGCAAAAAGAGGAGGATTAGCATGGATGTTAGCTCAGGGCTGATCGTCCCCAAAAAAAAAAAAAAAAAAACGGCAACTGGGACTAGCGCAGAAATAACCTCCCGAGAGCCTCTCCAGCACCCCGCCTGCACCCTGAGTGACCTCTGTCCCCACACCCATTCCACAGATAGGTGGTCTGCTTGGTCACCTCCCTGAGGGTCACCTCCCGCTCACGTTCACGGGTGCAGCCCCACCCTGACACAGGGTCAACGCCAAGTAAATGTTTGTGGAATAAATAGGAATTGTTAGGCTAGAGAAAGCTTCCTGTAGGCCTGAATCCCTGTGCTCACCAGTGTGCAAGCTACAGTCATGGAAGTCTCCTAAGCCGGTGGTGTGCCCACCTCTCAGGATATCCAGAATTGATAGGAAATTAGAGTGGTGTGCCAACAACCGTCAGTGTGAATCTCATTAAAGTGGGACTGTCTCCTTCGCCCTTCGGGTCCTGACATCAAGCCCGGGGCTGTATTAGTTCCCAGCCGCAGAAGAGTGAGTAGAGCAAAGAGTTAGTCACCACTGGCTCCCACTCGCTTTTTCACATTGGAGCCTCCTGGAAGGGTGGCAAGTGGGCGGGCGCACAGAAGAAAGAGTCAGAGCAGGAGAGTCTCGGGGAAACCGGCCATGCAGGCTCCTGAGTCACTGAGTCGCCGCTCAGCTTGGACCCCAGCCGAGCCTCTGTGCTCCTCGGGCATTTGAAAGATTTGTGGATTCTGCTGAAGTCTTCATTTCAACCGCAAAAGTTTCCTGTCTTCCCCATCACCTCCCACCTTTACCATCAGAAATTTTGAGGAGGCACATATTAAGTTTATAGGTTCTTAGCTTAAATTTGTTTTTTCTTTTTAGAGTTTTTAAGAGATCATTTGGCTCTCAGGTTTTGTGGGTGGGTGGGTGGGTGTGTGTGTGTGTGTGTGTGTGTTTAGGTTTGGCCAAATAATTTAAATACTAAAGCGAAAGCAGGTTCTCCAACAATATAACTTTTATAATTCAAAAATAAAAAGCATTTTTAAAGGCTGATTATGGTTCAGTTTTCTTGCTATTTTTATTTCAAAGGGGAGGGTTATCTGGGAAACACTGATATTATATAAATGAAGAATTTTATGGTTGTCATTTTCTGTAATTATCTGTCTGTTGGCTGAACGTCGGTACAGTATCCCTCTTTGCTGAGTGAACAATCAAAAACGTGAGGGTCCCTGTAAGGAACCAGGGCCAGGTTCCACTGGAACATCACCCCACGAAGGTCGAGGCTTGTCTGTTTCGCTGGATGGCACCCCGAACTTTGAGAACCAAGTCTGGCAGCAGCCACACTCAGGGAGAGCTTGGTGGCCGTCTTCACTGGCCCCATGTCCCGTCTCTTCACGCAAGAGGAGCACTCCCCTCCCAGCATCAGGCCCTTTCTGAGTCCTCTCACCTCGGATGCCCAGAGCCAGCAAGCCCGCCCAGCTGCCCAGTGTGCTCAGAGCAAAACGTCCACAAAAAGACTTGGCCAGCGTGGGCTTGCTGACAGACGGGCAGTGGACGCCTGGGTGTGCTTAGTGTTTCCTGAGCTCTTGTTACTCCAGCAGACATCTGTCTCCAGATCTACATAAGTCCTGTTTAACAGAAGCAAGACAAAACCACTTCCCTCCTGAATGCGGTCTCAACTGGTGCACATCCTTTTCTGTGGTCAAGTGTCAGACCCTGCAGATGTTTGTGGAAGGCAGTTTACAGAGCCCGCTCTCTTGTCTCCATCCACGAAGTGCAGCCTCTGAGGAAATTGCTCGGAGCCTGCCCCGAAATAGGAAAAACAAAGCAGAGGCTGGAGCAACGTTCTTCCCAAGAGGGTGGGAGCTCAGTCCTCTCAGCAAAGGGGGAAAGAAGGCGAGGATTCGCCCCAGGAAGAATCCAGGAAGATTCTGCTCGCAGGAGAGGGAAGGGTGGCAGTGAGGGCAGGGGATGGAGGTGGTGTTCATCGTCCTGAGGGAGAGAGCCCCATGGATAGCTTTCTCCCGACTTCCCAGAACCCCGACTCGTCGTCAGCCCCTGGCATGGTTTTGTGACTGCGTTTTGGGGATGGCAGCCCCAGAGCCTCACTGGACCGGGCGAATAACTTCTAAAAAGCAAAAGAATCTCACTGTATCTGCAGGGTGACGTGTGGGGGCAAATTTCAACTGGGACCTTCCATTGGCGTGTGAGGTTTCCTCCTCCAAAAGGCCGTTGAAGCCACACGAAAGCAACCACCAACCGGTGCTCCTGTCCTTGGCCTCAGAGGTCATCACCAGCTGACCGTCCACATCACTTGTCCTTTGCTCTTTCAGGCTACAGTGAACGCCCGGCCTCAGCGCATCCTCACCACATCCTCTCTCACTCAGTCGGCACCCGCCAGCCCCACCAACAAGGGCATCCACATCCACCAGGCCGGGTAAGTGGCCTGGGCCTTGTCTGAGAGCAGCCCATCCACTGAGGTCTGTGGGTGAGGTTCCCTCGGACGCTCCCTCTCCCGCTCTCTGCCGAGCTCTGCACTCACTGGCTGTCTCTTCCCCACTTTTCACCTTCTTCCCCCTGCTGCTCTCTTCCCCCCTCCCTGCTTCCCTCACCCTCTCTGGCGAGCATGTTGTCTCTGTCTCTCTCACACACACCCCTACATCTGTCTGATCTGAGCCCCTTCCTAAAATTCCTTCCTGTCTTCCTCTGCACACATTCTAACAGCAGGAGTTGAACTGAGCCTGACTTCTGTGGCCCCTCAGCATTTTATAGGAGAGGGTCTCTGTCCTCCCCGTGGATAACCAGCAGGGTGGAGGGTGGAACACTCCTCTTATGTCAGCATTCACACCACAGGAAGTGGCGGGGCTGTGCACTAAATTCAAGGAGAGCAGACTCGTGCACTGAGCCCTTCCGGTGCCCCTGGCTGGCTCACTTAGTCCTGACCTAGCTTGCCTCGCTGCGTTAGTTTTCAGTGGAAGAAGGTTCTTAGAACCTGCGGGCAGAAGCTGGAAGGGGCATTAATTCAGCATTGGCAGGTGGTGTTGGGAGGACGTTCTGCCCTGATGACCTGGTCCTTTGGTGGTGTCCGGAGCTTGGGCAGAACCAGGAGAAGTGGCTTAGTGTTTGGTTTCAAAGTAACAGGCTCTGGGTAAAATGCAGTGTTTCTTCTTTCCCGGACGTAGAGGCTCCCCCCCAACATCCAGCGCAAGCAGCTCCAGCCTGACTAACGATGTGGCCAAGCAGCCGGTCAGCCGAGACCTGCCTCCAGGCCGGCCAGGCACCACCGGCACCACGGGCGTGCAGTACACACCCCACTCCCACCAGTTCCCCAGGACACGGAAGATGTTTGACAAGGGCCCAGACCAGGTACAGACACTGGACTGTTCGGTGATTTTTAAACACTAATTCTAACAAGTTTAGATGCCGAGAGCTTTGCTCCTCAGATGTGAGCCAAGAGCTCGGAATTAGGTGGTTAACGTTGCCTCGCACCTTGTGCAGGACACAGGGACCATTGTCCTCTTGTCCCAGGTGATGGCTCTTGGCTCGCTCACCCTGTTTGCACAGTCACGTCTTTGCGAATATCACAGGGCTCTTCCTCTCACTCCTGCAGCCTCTTGTTCTCAGTTCACTATTCTTGGCAACTTCCATGTAACAAAATAAACACATGGAGCTCATTTGCTTTTTTTCTTCTTGGGTAAGTAGCATTTTGCCTCCACTTGGCATGGCAGCCACTCCACAGAGGTGTTTGTTCTGAACGGGTTCTTTGCTTTATCCATAAACGTTCAGTTACGCCACATAAGTAGGTACGGTCTCTGCCCTTAACTAAGTTGAAAAAGAAATTTCAGGAGCGAGAGGAGTTGGTTTCTTCATTTGCCAGGGCTATGAGAATATGTAACAGGGGAACACAGAAGCTGGGCATTTGCTGTCTTGTCCAGACTGCTGCTTTCTGGGCCAAGGATGTGCGGTCTAGAGAGGTTCTTCAGGATGCACCAAAGACGTCTGGCTGCTGTGGGTGCCTCAGAGCAGCCACGTGTCTCAGCTCACCAGTAACCAGTGATTTTAACAAGAAGTGCACAGTAGGCTGCAGGGGACTTTGTAGCAAGAGGCACATGTTGGTGACGAAGAGGCTTCCACACGTGCCGCCCAGCCCCTCACCCACCCTGGCTTTCAAGCCTGCCTGCTCTCCCTGCCTTGACAGCTGTAGAGCAAAAACGGCCACAAGCTCCCGGTGCGAGGTTCTGCCTCTTGGCTGGACCCTGACGTGGGGCGGCCAGGCAGCAGCAGCTCGGCCCAAGGGGTGCTCAGTGTCCCTGCGGCCACCATCCCTAGGGTCCTGGTCCAGCAAAGCAGCTCAGTGGCAGCAGGCAGCATGGGGTTCCCCTACTAGGTGGGAGATGAGACCCTATCACTGCGTCCCATCTGTGGGATTTGCCACCAAGCAGGCCTCCCCGGATGACGAGCTCCTCTCTGAGGGCTGCCCCAGCGCCATGCACCACGGGGACAGCTCGTGCCCAGCCACATGCAGTGAGGTGAGCTCCTACTCTGACAGCCCTGGCCACCGTAGGTCCTGCAACGGGAAACAAACTGACGCATCGCCCTGTGTCAAGTATTTTACAAGCGGCATCAAGTATTTTAAGTTTTAATAGAAGTCCCAGTTGGCCTGTGTTCTGCTGCGCTCTCTGTCCAGGAGCCCCTGCCCTCCTCCGGGTACCTGTGTGGCTGGCCTCGTTGGGGCAGCAGCCCCAGTACTAGGTGGCAGAGGCCTTGTGGGGGTGGCTGACTCGGTGCTGATGGGCCTGTGCAACCAGCTCGGCAGAGTGACAGGGGCTCTGCAACCCAAGCCACCTCGGCCAGCCCCAGAGGGACGCAGTTCCCTGAACGCAGACTTGGATGGCCCTCCCTAATGTGGGTTCTCTGGAGCCCTGTCCAGACATTCAGGGTTCCTTAGTCACCAGGACACAAGAGTGAGGGGAGCCCAGAAATGTTTCCTTAGAAGCAGACCACTGCCAACCACTGTGCCCTTTGGCCCCAGTTATGAACTGTTTCAAGCATACAAAGAGCTGTGGGGAATGAGGGGACTCACTGTTGTTTCTGTTCTCTTCTCCTCTCCTCCTTTCCAAACGCCCGGAAGACCACTGACGATCCAGATGATACTGCTGGACACAAAAGTTTCATCTCAGCCACAATGCAGACAGGATTCTGCGACTGGAGCGCCCGATATTTTGCACAGCCCGTCATGAAGGTAGCTACACATCATTACCTCTGGGATTTAAAGCGAGAACCCCTGGCCGAGTGCCTGCTCCTCCTGTCCTCCAGCAAACACTCACAGTCCTTCAGAGCCTCCCCCTCTGGCTCCATGCTTCCTTCCCCAGGAGCCCGGCCTCAGGCCTAGGCTGTCTGAACCCCTCTGCTCCAGGTTGATGGTCTGAACCCCACTGGGTTTGCGCACTCTGAGCCTCAGCTGGCTGCTCACTGTGGCTCCCTCTAGCCCAGGTGGGGCCGTGCAGGCCACTTCCGGAGCTGTGGCCTGAGGCAGGAGGCCAGGGCTGTGTAGGGTCCCCGCTGTGCCATCAGCCTGCACTGACCCTCCAGGGATTCTGTCCCACTACATTTGCAGCTATGAAAGGGTGGCGCCAGATTGATGTCATGGTGGCTGATGTTAATAGTTAAAATAAAACAGCAAAAGAAACAGACTTCATTTACTTTCCTGTCTTCTCACAAAAAAAAAAAAAAAGAAGCCTGCCTTTTCTGAGGTTGCCGGTGTAAAATGTATCTTTTTGTCCTAATTGGCAAAGTCACTCCAGGCTTTCAACTCCCTCCTGTCCCCAGGCATCACTTGGGCAGCTCCGCATGTTGGGGACTGTTGGACTAAGCTAGCTGATTTTTTTAAAGACCCATCCACTGGGGCTAATTCTAAAGCATTCTGGCTTATTCCGGGAGACTACCTTCCAGGTTTAATTCTGCCACAGTCATAACATGAAGTGTGTCCTGTTGCCGCAGATTCGAGCACACATTCAGGTGACAAGTTGGGACGGCGACACTTTGTCAAGCAGAATCTCTCGTGCCCGTCTTTCTGCAGGGAGCACAGCAGGGGTCATTTTTAGACTTTCCTGGCCTAAAGCACATTCTTAGAAAACCTTCTTCCTCTTCCCTCATATAGGTCATTGAAAATTGCAAATTGCAGATTATTCTTAATTGTTTATCAAGCTACACGTCCTGGAATGTTCGTGAAGAGTGTTGGGCTCTTTATCATAGCTTTTTTCTGCTTCCCCATAGTCAGTAAAAACACAAAATAACAGTTGTCAGCGCCTGAGACAGGTCATCAGGTTCTAATTTATTGAACCCCTTTGCTGAAAAGGGAGAGGAGATCTCTCTTCCGTTTTTTAACTGAACCTGACTTTTCCAGAAAGCATTCTGGCAATAAGTATCAAGTGCCTTGAACAGCCATTCTCTTTGACCTACTAATTCATTTGCTAAAACTTTAACAAGGAAATAATCAATGTTATGGATGATCTGTGTATTATCCATACTAGCAGAAACTAGGATTCACTTAGAAGTCCAAAAGAGGGAGAGTGGCTAAAAAATCATGAAATATTTGGTACAATATTATTGGAGCAATTAAAAAATTGAGCTTTAAAATTTATGTCGTAAGGAGATGCTCAGGATAACATTTTTTAAATGGAAAAAAAGCAGGACATGAACTGGCTGCAAAACAGGCATAGTTGTAAATGCCGTGTGCACACACGTCTGTGTGTCAGAAAGAGACTGCAGGGAAACTAATCCTGGTGGTGGGATCTCAGGTGATGGTGGTGGTGCTGGATTTATTTTTTTCTTATATGTTTCTATCTTCCTTACGTTTTCTACACTAAGCGTGAAGTACCTTCATAGTTAGGAGAAAAAATATTAAAGAAACAAACCTCCAGAGATTATTGAGACTCGTGAGTTAAGTTATGGTCAGCAAAGCTTGTTGCCCCAGACCAGCTCCTGCTTACATTCAGGTGGCCGTCAGTGTGCTGCCCACCTGCAAACTGAGGAAAGAAAGAGTAGTGAGCCCTGGAATGTGTACCAGGAGACAGGTGGATGCTGGTGCCTGGGGTAGCGAGTCGTCCTTTAGAACCATGGTACAGTCTGCTTAAAAGTTAAGTAGGCTTTAGTTTAATATTAACAGAAGTTTGGTTTCCTTGATACTGTCTCCTACTTAAGGCGAGAGAGGTCAAGCAATTTAGAACTCTAGATGGCCTGGCCTTCCATCTTGCTGAAATGGCAGTGGCTCTAAATTATGATAATTTCTTGGTATGGTAATGAGCAGCTTTTCTTGAAGTCTTTGAAGAATGCCTGTTCTTGGTCATCTACATATGGTGACAGGGAGAAGTGGCATTGATAATCCGAAACTCATTTCTCTTATTATTTTTGTGTGTGTGTGAGGAAGATCAGCCCTGAGCTAACATCTGTGCTAATCCTCCTCTTTTTGCTGAGGAAGACCGGCTCTGAGCTAACATCTATTGCCAATCCTCCTCCTTTTTTTTTCCCCCAAAACCCCAGTAGATAGTTGTATGTCATAGTTGCACATCCTTCTAGTTGCTGTATGTGGGACGCGGCCTCAGCACGGCCGGACAAGTGGTGTGTCGGTGCGCGCCTGGGATCCGAACCCGGGCCGCCAGTAGCGGAGTGCATGCACTTAACCGCTAAGCCACGGAGCCGGCCCCAAAACTCATTTCTCTTAAACTTATTAAAAATGAACTTGATTTTTCCCCCAAGGATTGGCTTTCCTCCACTCAGTACGGTGTGCCTACGCTGCCGTTAAAGTGAGCGAGCCCCCCGGAGGGACACGTCAGCTGTTTGTAGGAGGCAGTTCCCGAGGCACTGGAGTGGAGTGTCAGGCAAGAGTTGGGGTTTCGTCAGGGACGTCTCTGTCTGTCCATGTTTTACCCATGTGCAGACCCAAAGCCAGATCTGCTCAATGGCTAATGCCACACCTCCCTTTTTTCAGAACTAGCAGCAAATCCATCTGCCTTTGTGTTCTTCTGTTTGTGTACCCGGAGTATGTCTGAGAATCCCCGCCAGGGAGGGTCCCGTGTGTCACAGCGTGGAGGAGACAGGCCATCTGGCCTATTAGGTCAGTGTGGGTCCCAAATGTGGACACAGCAGTGAGAGTAGGGAAGGAAGGGTCCACAGAGGGTGTCCTTCCACTCCTTAGCCTACGGAGGCAGTCAGGAAATCTCCAGTAACTAAACGATGGTTTCCTCTGACCCCACCACGTTTGTGAAAACAAGCTCTCCTTTGGTGGCAGCTTGAAATGACGAGCTCTAGGTTATGACTGAAAATGAGTTTTTGTTCTGATCCGTTTTGTCTACAGTTCCTGGTAGCAACTAAGATGTTGGGTGGTTGAAGGACATGAAGTGATTTTCGTTTTATGTTAGAGACCTTTTCTCAACTTGAGAAGAGAAGCAGGACATGTTTCATCTCGTTGTTATTTTAAAATTTTCTCCTACTTTTTCCTGGTGATGTTCACAAGCATGTTTTTTAATTAATTTAATTAATCATCTAATGACATGTTTGTGCAATAAAATGCATTAGGAACTTTTTTTATTAGCCAGCTTCACATGTAAACTAAAAATGGCTCTAGGCTAGGATTGTACCTCAAAAAGGACAGAACCTCAAACTCTAAACTCCTTCAAAGGTAAGTATAAGAAACTAAAATATTCACCAGGTAACAAAATTATACCCAGTACTACAGTCATGTGCAACTAGTGGTTAGTAGGATTGAGTACCTGAAAACAGGATTACAATGGCAATGTTTGCTAGCTTTTTTATCAGTTCGCAGTCAGATTCTTTACAGGTCTGCGACTGAAAAGACCTGTGTTCTGGACATGGTTCTCCTTTGATTGATGAAACAACTTTGTCTCTTCCCTGTGTTGGTTCACAGACCTCACATCTGCTTTAGAAAGAATGTTAAAATGGTCTGTCATGTGCTTAAAAAAAAAGATATTGAAATTTATTCTGATTACAAAAGTAATACAAATTTCTTTCAGTCTCAGGTTGACAAATTTCAAAGATTGATTTTATGCAAAGGTTGTCTTACCAGAGCGTGGGGAGATGCTCTTGGTGGAGGTACAGAACTAGCCTGGTGTAGGGCAATTCAGCAGTAGCTATCGAAACTACAAATGGGTGTACCCTAGAAACCCACAATCCTGCTCTGAGAAATAGATCCTGAAACCAGTGCTGTACATGTATATGTAATGATATATGTCCAAAGATGCTCATTACGTTATCTATAATAGCAAAAAGTTGAAAACAGAAAAAAAGGAATATTAATCAGGAGGAGACTGAATTAAAAATGCTGCATCCTTGCAATAGAACCCTGCACAGCCATTAGAGTTGATGAGTTCTGTCTCTGTGAGGACTTGGTTGATGTCCTTGGTATAGGGGTCAAATCATCAGATGGTCCAAAATGCTTGCACAAATGCTATGCTTCTATAGATCTGAATAAGCATTGGAAGAAGCCTGGAAGGTTATGCATCAAGCTATTCATGCAGTTAACTTCTAGAAGGTGGAATTGAAATCAGGGACAGAGACTATCCTTTTTATATTGTACACTTCTGGGTTGTTTGAATTTTTTAGAAAGAATGATTAGTTTTGTAATTAGGAACGTGTTAAAATATAATGTTTAATTACAAAAAGAGCTTTAAAAGAGTCAAACAGATTGTTTTAAGACATCACCTGCAGAGTGCATATCAGTTTACTTGCACAGAGCCCTTAAAGCTAAGCAACGATTTACATTGCGCAAAGAGCGCGGGTCCTGTTGTGCCGACTCACGTGTAGAAGAGTGGTGAACATGCTCTACACTTTATTAAATTTTCACATCTATGAAGCTTTTCTCTTTTTGCTGAGGAAGACTGGCCCTGGGCTGACATCCGTGCCCATCTTCCTCCACTTTATATGGGACGCTGCCACAGCATGGCCTGACAAGCAGTGCGTCGGTGCACTCCTGGGATCTGAACTTGGGCTGCCAGCAGCGGAGAGCGCGCACTTAACCACTACGCCATGGGGCTGGCCCTCTATGAAACTATTTTTAAAGTGTACTAAACTATTTTTTTAAAACTCAGAAAACAAGAAAAAAAATAATAAAATTGAAATCACCCATAGCACACACGCTCGCTTACACACACTCTCGCTCACACACACATTCGCTCACAGACACACACACACACAGATTTCTCTCCACCGTTGAGATTATTCTGC